GCAATACTGAACCTTTACAATAGGACACTATATCTAAAGGGTTTGAATGAAATAACAATCTTGTGTAAGTTGATGAAATTTGATGAAATTTGATGAAATTTGATGAAAACATATCATTTCATCAAATTTCATCAAACTTCATCAGCTCATTATTGACTCAAAAAAACCTCAATGATCTTGGAAAAGGTCCTTGGAAATGTTCTTTCAACCATGTCTTTGGTACACAGCAAAGGTCTTGTTCACCAAAGAAGGGTGTTCACCAAAGGTCTTGTTCACCTGGACACACCAACACTGGATACAATTGCAGCACATATCACTGCTCAAGCCTCAAGCCTAAGCCATGGCTCCCAAGGCCAAAGGAGCTACCTTGTCCAAAGGTAGCTCCAAAGACAAGAAGGCACTTGCCAAAAGAGCTACCTTGTCCAAAGGTAGCTCCACAGGCAAGAATGCAAAAGCAAAATCTAAAGCAAAAGCAAAAGCCTTGACAAAAGGCAAAACAAAAGTGAAGAAAAGCTTTCTCAAAAAGAATCAGCTGGCAAAGCTTGGCAAGATGACACTTGCTCAAAAAGTAGCCAAAGCTGCTGAAAATGCAGAAACAGCAGAGGAAGCAGCAAGCAATTTGAAGGCAATGCTGAATTCAAATGAACACTCCAGGGTATGGAGCAAGCACAATGTAATGATGAAGAATACCAAAACACAAAAAGAAAAGAAAGCTTTTGACAAGCTTTCCAAAGGTGAAAAGGGTATGCAAGCAGCCCTGTTCATGATCAAGAGGGGGGTGCCAAAGTTCTTTCACACAAGCCAAAGCATAAAGCAAGGCACAACCCTTGACAAAAGGGAAAAGTGGGAGAGTGAAACCAGGATGATTGAACTGCATGGGTGGGATGACCTGCAGAAGCATATTGCAAGTGGTCGCATCCAATGGAGAGCAGATCCATGGACTCCTGGAGTCTACAACTACTGTGATAAGGGTGACCTTGAGAAGCACACCAAGGTCACCAAGAGCAGGTCCTTGACAAAAGGACAGGAATATGAACTAGATGAAGATGACAATGCAAAATGGGGACAGGTGTGGACTCTGGATGAGTCAACTCTCCTCACTCAAGTGGAGAATTGGGGAAAGAGTGGAGGTAAGGGTAAGCCTGCCTTGACAAAAGGAAAGGGCAAGGGAAAAGGGAAAAAAGGAAAGAGCAATGCTGAAGTTTTGGCCATCATGGATGGTAATCCCTGGGAGGATGAGGATGGCCAAGAAGAAGGCGATGAAGAAGAAGAAGAGGAAACAGAAAGTGAAGAGGTACAATGGAAAAACTCATAGTGAAGGCCAAAAGGGCCAGGGATCAGGTCACCTCAACAAAGGCAGACCTGGAGGCTGCTTTGGATGCAGCTGACCATGCAAAGATGGTCACCAAAACAGCAAAGAAAG